AACTAACATGTTTTCCACACCTACACTCCCGTAGATTTATTAGTCTTTACACCTTATAAATTGTAACCGAGCCCAACGCACTCTGTCATTAATATTCCTGTATTTGTCTGAAAGCGAGAGTGCAGGTAATCAAATAAATTGCTAATATTTCAAAACAAGTCATTTTACTCAAGAAATAAATGCTATTTGGTGAATGTACGCAATACATATTTACAGCTTTTGTGTAAACAATCAGTTTAAAGTTACATTTAATCAAAATGTTTTCAGATTGAAAAATGTATAATTCAAAACTTCTCAAGGTTTTTATGATTTGTCTCGTGTTTATAATTTGTCTCAAGGCCTGACCTTTTGTGACAGTGAGTGTCAGTAAGCTGTTAAACAGACCTCTGACCTCCACTGATTCAATGATTTGTATATTTTTGTTCAGTTGTTCATATGTTTATATATGTTAACTTTTCAGTTATACTGATTTTCAGTTATACTGATTTCTGTTAACTTTTGTTACTTGATTGTATAATTTACTTTTATACAATTTGCTTTATGTTATGTTATATTTGTTTGTGACCCTGGGCCCTCTTGAAAATCAGCAATCTTATGCTGTAGAGGCTACCCAGGTGTTTATAAGATGAAATAAATAAATAAATAAGTAATTTGAAGTGTAAAAAAATTAAATGCCTTGAGCTACGCTAAATCGACTGTTTCAATATAAGTAAATGAATGAATGATTGATTGATTCAGAACTTCTCGACGTTTTGAAATGTTTTTCCCACGTGTTTATGATTTGTCTCAAGGCGTGACAATTTGGTTTTAATTAGTTCCAGTAATCTGAAAAGCAAAACATATCAAATGCCTTGAGCTGCGGTATTGAGACGAAAAAAACAAACTATGAAAAAAAACTATGGACAATACTTGATAAATACTTGACTACAACTACTTAGCAAAAACTGTACGAGTTCAATAGAATTATATTGACAAGGTAAATATAGTGCACAACGTAATTATAGTAAATGCATGACGTCTTGGCCAGATTTCATAACCTGATAACCCTAACGTTAGACTGCAACATCTGTTATGTAATAGTATGTTAACCTGACGACAAGTAAATATAGTACACAATGTAATTATAGTAAACGCATGACGACTAGGCCGGATCTCATAAACTGTTAACGTTAGACCGCAACATCTGTTGTAATAGTATGTTTATCTGAAGTGTAACCGACACTGTTAACTGTTGCCTCTTCCGAATTGTTTATGTTCTTGTTGTGAGGGCTAGCCCTTTATAATAGCCTCCGGCTAGTTGGGCAGTCCTGGCTGTATACATATTTCTTATTCAGCCTAATAAATCAAATCAAATCAATAAATTTAAGTGTTTTGTCATGCTTGCTAAACCAAATGAGAATTTCCCCTTTTAAGTTTTGTAAATCTTTGTTCTGAGGAAAGTGAATGCAAAAAAAAAAACAATACCATTTTTTAACAATACCATGACATTTATCTCATTGATTGACTAATTTGATGTATGGGTAAATATAAACAATAACTATTTACAGCATTTTTGTAAACTAGCAGTTTAATGTCAAATTTGATTTTAATCATGTTTCAAAAATGAATAAATAAATGACTGAAAGGACCTCAAGGTTTTGTGATTTGTCTCACGTATCCAAAGCATGGCCTTGTTTTCAAGTAGTTCCGGTAATTTAAAAAAGGGTAGAATAAAAAAAATAACTTATGGGCCTTGAGCCACGCTTATATCGACAGACGCCTAGCCCGGGACACGACGTGTTTTTGCCGTCCAGGAATCTGTTAAGTTAAACCATGTTGGGAGGACAGCAACAGTCCCATACTTATTCCAATGGAGGTAGAAGTTCTTTGCTTTTTTTTGCTGTCTATTCTATGTAAATAAATATCCAAATGATAACATTCGAAAGATTCATAAAAGTGTTGGCAACTGATCTGTTGCATGTTATCAGTTTAAAAGAAGAAG